CTTTGCCTCTCAAAGTTCCATGAACTTTCAGAGCCAGGCTGGCGTCTGGATCGACTTCCTCCAAGCTGCGCTGCGAAAGCTGGAAGGTGCTGCCCGCAATGTGCAGAAGTAATACTGCGTGTGCCAGTTGATTGCAACTTTGCCAATCGGCTTTAAATGGTTGCTTGCGGACATCTTGCAAGGGAAGCTTGGGTGAAGCTTCCGCGTAGGGCGTAACGTGTGGGCGGACAGTGAGCTATAAAGCAAACTTCTCTTCATAAGTTTGGTTCATCATGCCAAGAGACTGTCATGAGTTTGGCTGTTCCTCGAAACTCTGACGCAAAGAGATGTTTTTTGGAGTCCAGCTCCCTATATAATGAGGGTGATGAGCACGTTTGCATGGTGGTATCAGCATGTTGCATGCTGACCACGTTTTTCACTTACCTTTTGAGGTCCATACTCCAACAAGATCCTAGACTGATGCCTAAGCGAGCTTTCCTGCAGGGCCCCAACGCGCGAAAAGATGATTCTTGGCCTTTGTACCTCCAAGTTCCAACACTGAAGCACAACGTAAGGTTCCAGGGTTTGCTAGTTACGTTCGGCAGAGATTTCGAAACTGCAAGTTGGGTGTGAGGGCATGTTGGATAATGTAGTTGATTGCAGGAGTGTTGCGAGCTTGTGAATGCAAGCTTGTGGGACGCTTTTTTATGCTCGAGCTAGTCGCCAGCGTGTTGCACTTCTTCCATCCCAAGGAAGGAGGAGGATTGCCAAACCCACCGCAAGCTAATGAGGAAACCTGGAGATCTTTGGATGCCTTCACATGCCGTCTCAGTTGTTCACAGCGTGTTGGAATAGTGAATAGTGCACTGCTTTGACACATAATGAGTTCATGTAGTGCTCTCAGCTTTTGTTCCCCGATCTTTTTGCCGCAGCAGGTAGACCTCTGGTGCCCTGAGGTGAATATGAAAAATGAAGGTTTGGGAGTGGTCGTTGCGCTTGATTGCAGAAAAGCCTTCAAAGCTGCTCGTTCATTTCACAGAGTTGATGTCGGGGCTTTATTGCTCAGCTATGCTCAACCCACTGCCCTGACTGAAGATACCAACTCTTGAGGCCGGGATACTGCTTGGGATTAATGGCTGACGATGATGGTGGGCGGTTAGTCGCTCATGTTGTGCTGCATGTTATTTGTCACCTTTTCATGACAAGATCACATCATGTCCGACCCCTTACAACATTCATGGAAGTGGGCGCACGGTGTTTTTAGCAGCTCACTGTCTCTCCAGACTCTTCGCCGCAGGTGCCTGCGTGAGAACAGCAATGGCGTGACAGCCTTGGACTGGGGAAAGGAAGCAGTCAGCCAAGGGTTAAGTGAAGCAAAGGGTCAGAAAATGTCAAAATGATCCCAGCGGTGTGAATTTTCTTCGCTTCGTAAGTAAGTACTAAGTCGCCCGTTAGCTGTTCGCATGCAGTTGCGGCCAAGTTCTCGAATCAGAGGGAGCTTTTGCAGCAGAGAAAGCTTCTTGGTGATCCTTCAAAGAATCACGGCGGCGTTGTGAGTGAATGTTTGTGAAGATCCCTTGTCGGAAGTGCGGCGGCGTTGTCTATGTTAGCGAAGGCTCGTGAGAGATCCCTGCGTTGAAGCACGCCGGCGTTGTCTGTGAAAGGTCACGGGGGATCCTTGACCAAAGCACAGTGGCGCTGGCCTGGCAACCTGCCAGGCTCCAGCCTGCCAGACCTGCCAGGCTGGAGCCTGGCCGGCATGGCAGTGGAGCCCGGCAGCTTGGCTTGGAGGGCTCTAGCAGTTGCGGCACGCACTTTTGGCCCCCCGGCTTTGGCGTGGAAAGGTCGGCACTTTCGGCCTCGAGGGTTTTGAAACGTCTTCCTCTCACTCTCACACTCACTCATTCACTCACTCACACACACTCACTCACTCACACACACGCACACTGGTATGTCAGAACTCCCCTCGGCGTGTGTGCATGTTCATAGTGCGACAGGCCATGTGCTGCAAAAGATCTGCTGCTGACCGAAGCTGCTGTCACGTAAATACAGGCATACAAATCCTACATGCAAACTGCCATGATTTGGCGGTGGGGGCCACCAGCTGTCACGAAGGACCCAGGTGCACACCCTGAGGTTGCCAGCTGCCACGCCGGGCCCAGGCCAACCTCCCCCCTGCAGGTACGGTTTTCCTGGAAGGTGTCGGGGAGCTTCGTTGGACAGGGCTCCCCACCACTTCCTCCTGTCCCCCTGCCTTTATTCGCATTTTCGGCATGTGATAGTTTTATGGCTTCCGGTTGTACGAAAACATCTGATTTTGAAAATCTCTGAAATTGTGAGAAAAAAGTGAAATGAATTGTAACTTGGATTGTGAATGTACCTGACATTGTGAAAAATGCGAAATGAATTGTACCTTGGATTGTGAATGTACCTGGAAATGTACAAAAGACTTTAAGATGTAAATGTGAATGTGAATGGAATTGTGAAAACATGTAAATCCGATTGCAAATGTAAATGTAAATGTAAAAACAAATGTGAATGAACATGTGAAAAATGTAAATGTAAATGTAACTGTAAATGTAAAAACAAATGTGAATGAACATGTGAAAAAGTGCAAATGTAAATGTGACTGAAAATGTGACTTTCTGACAAAGAACAAACCACATCACAGAGTAAAGTTCCGCACTTATTATGACAAGTCAAACAATTGTGGAAGACTTTATGCCCATATTTACTATCCGATCCAAGGTTCCAGTAGCGGTCATAAGTAGTGAAGTAGTGTAAGGAGCAGTGGCGGCGGCGGTGGCAGTAAGAATACCACATGGTTGACCTCCCCCACAAAAGGCGGTGAACAGCACCACCACCACGTCTCCTTGTACTCTGTCGGATTCTGTCGAATCTACAATGTACAATCTACGATTCAAAACACGCTACACTACACATAATGCATAATGTACCTTGGGGCTTTTACGGCATGCAGCTGGTGTACACCGAGGCCAAGGTGCCTCGCGAGGAGGAGTCCAAGCGTGAATCGAAGACCGCGGCGAAGGCGAGGACGCACTTTGATTTTCGCGGTTTGGACTACTGGACGCAGACAGCCTGTTTTCCTACCTGAGTTTCCCTGAGCAATCCCAGAGACGGTCCAATACATTTTCTTGGGCCTCTTGAGTCGATCGATTCTCGCATGTCGCGCCATGCTCCGACGGCCTACCCAGCGCGGTAACGTGTCTCCAAAAGCCGAGTCTTTAAAGCTCAAACGCACAGCATGAAGGCGATGTGAGACTCCCCCAGCGTGTTCAACCGATATAGGATCTACACTACAGTGCCGTTCGCCTGAGGGCCCAGGCAGGATGTATAGGGTTCAGAGTGCGGCACGATTCCCCGATGTACGCTTCGCGTCCGCTCGGAGGATTCCTTGCATGTTCTCTTTTGGATTCTTTTCGTGCCCGCACACAAACAGGCATGCTCGGGTCTCCAAATCATCCAGGCCGGCATCACTCGTTTCCGTTTTGTCCGTCCACATCATCACATCCACGACTGACGTCAGGCCGCCGCGGTCCGCATGCATGACCATTACGCCGCGTCCGGAACTCAAGTTTTGGCGTCCTTTTCTGAGACCGTTCCCTTCCACCAAGGCGGCGATATGGCCGTCTCCACAAGTTCCGAGTGCAGCAGACATTTTCAGGTGTGGAAGTTAAAACTTGGTCAGTTTGGGTTTCAGGTTTTCCGGCTTGGGCTTGTGCGAAATTGTTGCCACAACACAATGTGTGGTGTCGACAGGCTGGCCCAGCGTTTGAGATCACTTGCACAACAAGTTGAAGGTAGGGCAGATAGGTCGTCCATGCCCTGGCACCTTTGTAGCTCGGATTGTGGTGTGGCACCTGTGGGAACAGATGGCACGAGCGTTCCTAGCATGGCTTCGCTTCGTCCAGATGGGGAACCGTTTCGGCCTTGGCCTTAGCTGTCAGAGTTCTGAAAGCCGCGAATCCGACGCCAGCTCGAATGGCGAGGAGCCCGCTGAGTCCCCGTGCGGCGGTCAGGATTCGGCCTTTCTTCGCCGATGAGGCCCCTAGATTCCTAGATAAGTCCCGGGCGTGTTGAGCACTCAGCCAGGTCGGACATGTCAGAGTGTCAGAAGCATCCTCGAGATCGGCAGAGGCCCTAGTTAGAACAGCAGCCCTCGTAGAATTTCAGCGCTGGGCTTGCTCCTGTCACTGGGCCAAAAATTTCGTGAAGGCGCCGGCAGCGGTGCAGCCTCGCTCAGACGCAGCTTCCTCTATGAGATGCTCCTGCACCGCAAGACTTATGTGAAACTTGTCGATGAGTTGATTGAACACGAGCCCATTACTGTTGCAGATAACTCGACATCTTGCTAGGCGCGGGATGACAATGGTATCATCTTTCCGTCTCACTTTGTCTTCACCGACCAGCATGCACAGGCTGTCACGGTGGTCAGGTCCATTTCGCAGTCGCACCCGCTTGGCTGCGAGGCCGTTCTGTACAGAGACTTCATGTCCAAGGCCGTCGAGGAGGCCGGAGCAAAGAGGAGCAAAGAAGACTCAGATAAACAACAAATTATCTCTGTGCTTTTCGACTGAGCCTGATTTCGGGTGATGCAGGGAGTGAGCGCTGCTGTCTTCTCTTGTGGCCCACCGTCCGGTGGGAAAAGTTGGCTCCCGATGACACCGCAACCGGCTTTCAGATCTTCGGCTGGCAGTGCATGTCCGAGATTCCTGAGGTCACACCCGGCTGGGATATGGTGGACGACTGAGAGTGTCTCTTATCATGGTGAGAGTCGATCATGCCCAGCATTCTGAGGAGCAGATCCAGGGCTGATCCCGTGAGCTCCTTGGACCTTGGCGTCGAACAGACTTCAAATCGCGAGTGCTGTGCGGTGGGTGCACAGCTCCATGCATGAGAGGCACGTGACTCTCCAGATATTCCGCCATTTCTCTGCAACTGGGCAGCCCGCCAGAGTGCATGTCTCGGCAATCCCGGCATCCACAGTATACGATGTCAACATGGGTAAAGCAGGTGTGGTGCTCATTCCTGAAGGCATGCTGGATTGCTTTGCTGCCACCCGAGAAGATACAACGCTGCACACGTCTCGAACCATGCAGGTGCACAATGAGGAGGTCATAGACCTTTTGGCCCCGCTGCCTCCGCTGCAATCGAAGGCGCTTCTCCACGTGCCCTCAGCATCAGTGCAGATAGAATTCTCCTTGTCAGGAGGCGAACCTCGAGGTACCGACTTTGCTGGAGTAACTTTGTGTTGCCATGCTGTCTATCACAGCTAAGCCATGGATTGAACACAATTCAACTGATCCGAAGCTGGCCAGGTCGTCGAGCTCCCTGGTGCATCTGCGCATGTCCTCGGACTCACTCAGTGCTTTGTGGAGTCCGTGGGCGAGGCCCAACATGAGAGGCGCAGAACTCGAGCTCGGATCGGCTGGACGATGGCCTGAAGCTGGCGGGTCAGCGTTGCCATGTGCAGGCTCGGATGTGCACGAGCCCAAGCCGAAGTTCAAGGGGAGCAAAGCAGAATGCTCAGGGTTCTCACCGCTTCAAGGGCCTCTACTAAAAGGCCGTCAAGCTCCTACCGTCCCCATTTTCTGCTGCTGCTGGGTGATCACAACAGAAGGCTTGGGTCTTGTCTAGTCAGTGCCAGGCGGACCTCTTGGATCTGCCGGACTTCGACAGCAAAATACAGCAAAGCCGCCATGGGCAAGTTTGTGCGGAGATGCGCTGTGCACGCACAGGCTCCTCGTTGCCGGAACATGTGCATCGCATAGCATCCGCCTCGAGCCTGTCTGTGCCAAGGTCTCCAGGCTGCCCCTGATCATCAGCTCGACGAGCTGGGAAGTGATCGCAGAGGGCCTGAAGAGCACCCGATGATGTCTGCTGTGCGCTTGTAGCTTCACTGTGTCACGGCGTGGAAGAAGGGTCGCTCTGACACGTTTCCTGAACTGGCAGCGGTGGCATGTCGTTGAAACCGCAGGAGCTCGATCTGTTCAGTCTCGATTTTTTGGACAAGCGGATGGCGAGTTCCCGAACTATCAGGAGAAAGTCACTTCCTGCCAGTGCGCCTGCCAGCTTCTTCGATCTAAACTCGAATTCCTGTGGGAGGACCCACAGTGATCGGCCTCCGGGCATTGATGTGCTTGACGGCACAGGCTTCGCTGCACAAGCGCTGAAGCACAGGACATCGTGTTTGACTGCCTCGTCACGCTTTTGGGTGCCTTTCTTATCGAAGCATCGAATCCAGCCCTGCTTTTGTGGGATTTGTGTGAAGGCGTGGTTCCCATGGCATTCCCCTAAGGACTTCATCGATGCCGTGGCAAAGGTGAGGCGGACTTGCTCGGGTGTGAGCTTCATCGCCGGTGCCATGGACTGAGAGTTTTGAAGCTGTGTGGTGCCAGCAAAAACCACTTCCAGACATCCTCTATCATCCTTTTGTGAGGTCAGCAACCTGGGTGTTGCCTGCCGCAGTGCCGCAATGCTGCGCGAAGCATCGTAAAGCGCTAGCCAGCTCTGCCGCAAGCTGCAGACCTGCAGCAAGCCGTGCCTGTGGGCCTCGTGGAGCTCGGCCGCCTGCCCCCGACAGCCCGGAGTGACCGTCGGGCCGCACAGCGGCGCATGCTGCAGATGCAAGCCGTGAACCAGGAGCCGACCCTGAGCATGTGCAGAGATGTGGTAACGTACCGTGCGCTGGACGGCCTGAAGGGAAGGTGTGACTCGCACAGGTTCCTCAACTATCCTGTCCGGTGCGTCGGCTGCAGAGGCAGCGATGGGCAGCACAAGTTGGCCTTCCCTCAGCTGAGTCCTACGTGCAGGAAGCTCAGAAAGCGAAGGCGACGATGGTGAACACCTTGCAGCCAAAGCTCCGGCCTCGTTGAAGTCACCGGATCCTATGTCGTGTGGCTCACACTGATCTCAGGCAGAAGTCAACTTTGCTGCCGGTGAAGCAGCGTGCTCCACAGCTTGCCAGACCCAGCCCACGATTCACCCATCCTGTGAAGAGTCTGGTTCAGGTGCCTCCGGCCGTGGAAGGGGGGTCACTTGTGTCTTTCTTTTCGGGGTCGCTTCTGTCTTTTTCCTTGTTCGGAAGCAACAGTCTCGAACGAGAGGTGTCTTGGTAGGACCTGACCCCGCTCAGTTTCAGGCCCGGTATACATAAATTGCAAAGGCAATTGTAAGCTTGCTCCCTTTGTGCGTCCACATGCACATAGACATGCATGCGTACTGTATAAGGGGGGGTCTAAACATGTGTATACATACATAATTATACATACTATATTGAAATGTGTGTATGGAATATATGTATATGTAGTATATGATTGTACATGTTTATGTATTGTCATATGCAGATGCAGACATCTAGTAGATGTATATGTCGATGTATATGTGTATGTGTACGTACATGTAGATGTATGCGTATACTTACGTCTATATGTATATGTCAGTATGTGTTGTGTTAGGTTATGTCATGTTATGTTATGCTATGTTATGGTATGTTTAGGGCTTGCTTGCTTAGGATGTTTGGGGCGTTCTGTTTCAAGTTTCTTAGAGTCAATGGCACAGGTTGGAAGCTGTCTGCATCAGACAGCCGGTTCCGCAGCCTTGATACTCGCCCGCTCCGACCGCACATGCACGTAGCCGCTGCGCAAGTACAATTAGCGCCCAATGTCTTATCACTTTTCCATAGGAGTCGCGGAAAATGAGTAGCAAGGCTTCGAAAAAGGCCACTCCAGGAGCAGGCATGCTGGCGTGAGGGTCCTTAACATATGGCATGATGGATCATATCTCCCCGCGCTTAAGGCGTCAAGATCGTGACTCTTCGTCGCTCACCTGCTCGTGCCAAGTGCGAGTGCAGCTCCAGAATGCAGGCTGCCACCCAGGTAGAATGCCATGCTCACACGATACCTCCTACCCCAACCTTGTTGGGGTAAGCAGGCCCTCATAAACCATCTGTTCAACGTCGTCGCAACCAAGCGGGCCTGATGGGCCGCCTGTGCCAGCCGTGATTATTGAATCCGATGGGAAGTACTCACAGTGGTTACATCCACAACAACCGCCAGAGCCAAACGACAACTCAAGCCAAACCAGTTGACGATTATCGCTTTCCGAATTGCTTAGTGGCTTCGGCACATTTCGGCACGAGAAGTCGCGGATACCACATCCACGAGGACATGATGGTGCGCATGATGCTTCTTCCTCAACTGCCACGCGAGATGGCCATGGCTGCGCGTGCGGCATGCCAGGCGCACACACGCCTGAAGGTGGCGCAGCGCCTGTCTCGAATGTCGAGGGCTTCGAATTCTTTCAGGGTGTTAAGTCCAGGATCCAGTTTTCGACTAAAGTTACTGATCCGATACGTACTGTCCGCAACGCTCTGTCTGGGTGTACTAGCCGCGCTACGGCTGTCAATTACAGCCGCTCACTGCCAAGCCAGCCAGGACGTCACCATACGACCGTTGTGAGCCTCATGTTATATGATAAGGTTTTGCGACGATACTTCTTACCATGATCTGGTTCGAAGGTCCTTCGAAGGTAGAATCTAGCAACAACTCTTAATGTGACGTACTACTGAATGAATGAACTTTTTCGTGACGAACACCCGGAACGTGTACGGCACGAGGACGGCGTTCGCCAACCACCAAGTAGCCAGAGAACGCACATCCTTAGCTGTGACGTACTACTGCAAGTTAGCGCCTTTCGATTGGAAATGGCAGTAGTCAGTACTATTCAGTACTCCTCACCCTTGCCAGTGACCAACATGTGGGGTTTGAAGCTCGATTGTGAGCAGGAGACACCGTTGGCGAAGCACCATGTCTTGAACCGCGCAAGTGCACAAAGGAAATGTCCCACCCTCAAGGGCTTGAAAGGAGTTTGCGCCAAGCGGCACCGTTGGCATACAACCCTTCGCTCAAATCGCATATGAGCAACCGTCGTACTCGTGCATCAGGGACGAAAGGAGGAATGCCGTAGCAGGTACACATCGTGCCAGATCATTGGGAAGCGAGAGGACCACCCCCCGAAGCGATATTCCCAAATCTTGCATGAGTACCGCAGTATCGGTCTTGGTTTCAATAAGGGCGCAGCTAACAGGTCAGGACCCAAATAGATCGTACTTGCATTTTAAATTGTCAAGCCAAGTATGGGCACCAAAGTCTGTTCATTTATAGCTCTCTTCTATTGAATTTGGTGGGTCTGCCCCAAAATATTTGACACGGGTCTTCTTGTGTTCCTTTTGTGAAAGTCACCTGTAGCCTGTAGCAACCATCTGTAATCATCATTTTGCAAGGTTCTAGATGAAACTAACCTCCCTGGATCACGAGATCAGCAGGCAGACCTGACAACAACATTTTGGCTGTTGCTTTGCTGTGGCTTTTCTCCATCAAGTTCTGCAACCACCTTGAGGATCCCGTCATCGCAAAATGCGTACTTGAAGACCCTAGTACGGTCTCAAGGAGAGCTCGCATCGCCAAACTTGTGGTCGTTCATCGTGGTCATCGTTGTCGGCCTTGCTACTGACTCGTTATTGCCGTTATCGTCACCATCGCCTTATCCAGTGTTCATGCGCTGGCATGGATGACTTGCGAGATCAGTTTGTCTCCGCTGTTCTCTTGTGTATCATCATGCGTTTCTCGCTTGCCTGTCTTCAGCAGCTTCGAGTTAGAGGAAGAATCATGCTTTCCGCCGCAGTGGTCGCTACATAGTCAGGTCAGCATTCCCACCACATCATTCCCAAACGCGATGCTGCCCTTCGCTATTCTGTAGAGCCAGCGCAACTTCGACCGCATGTGGCTTTGCACTGTATGTTTTTGGGAATCTCTAGAGACAGAGTGCGATGCAGGCTTGCAGAGACGCAGAGTGTGCCGCAGCACCCTGAACAGTAGTGCTGCGTGCCGATTAGTAAACTGTCCCCCAACAGTAGAACGTTTTCCGGAAATGGTTCTGGTACTGGAAAATGAAGGTTGTCCCGGAATGATACTTGTAGTTTTCAAGGGTTAGGGGCTTTTTCAAGGTACAGGTTCAACTGGTAGCTATTATATACTATTGTTATTATTGGTGTTTTCATTACTATTGCTACTACTGCTACTACTACTACTACTACTACTACGACTACTACTACTACTACCACTATACTACTACCACTACCACTACCACTACCACTGCCACTGCCACTACCACTACCACTACCACTATCACAACAACAACAACAACAACAACTACTACTACTACTACTACTACTACTACTACTACTACTACTACTACTGCTACTGCTACTGCTACTGCTATTACTACTACTGCTATTACTACTACTACTACTACTACTACTACTGCTACTACTACTACTGCTACTACCACTACTACTACTACTACTACTACTACTACTACTACTACTACTACTACTACCACTACCACTACTACTACCACTACTACTACTACTACTACTACTACTACTACTACTACTACTACTACTACTACTACTACTACTACTACTACTACTACTACTACTACTACTACTCTGTGAAGCACCGCAACCCGGTCTTGCAAAGAGCAAACACGGAGCGGCAGCTGTCTTTTGCTTCGCGAGTCCACTCGCACGCTCACAGTCCCTAAGCCTGCTAAAAGCGCAGGCCGTCGCGAGTAAGCAACTCCGCGTGGCGAAGCTACCCTAACTCACTGCAGCCGTGCACACTTGGCAATGCTTAGAAGCAAAGCACTTGAGCCAAAAGTGGCGTTGACAAATTATGTACAACATGCAAAACTACAAACTGACAGCACGCTGCAGAGACATGTGCACTGACACAGGTATGTGCACTCACAATTCGCCCCTCAGCCGAGGCTCCTCCGTGCAGTCGCACCAAAGGTGGGGAGGGCGCGTTCGCGGCTTTCTCAAGCCCACGAAGGCCAAGCGGAAGGGCGAGGCCCTGGCAAGCACGCGAACGGTCGAACGGTCAGCCCTCCTACAACCACCTAAACCCTGCCAAGCGTGGCGCTCGGGTCTTCATTTTGCACTGGGAGGTGAGGCTTCCGGAGAAGCTGTCTCTGCAGTCGGACTGCTGTGAAACTTTGTACACTAGGTTACAGCTACGGCTACCTAAGCTAGCTAGAGCTACGTGGCAAAGACCTGCCAGCTACAGACTCCTACGCTCAGGCAGCCGCGCCCGAAAAAGGGCCGCGGGCCGTGTGGCCGCGACCGAACAAGGTCCGCGCGCCAACCTCTGCAAGGGACGGCACGGCTGTGCCGAACACGAGCGCCGGCTGGCGCGACACAAAAGTGTCCAGCGACCCAGAAGGGCCGTCTATCAGCACGGCGGCCTGTCTCACCAGGCGGGCCGCGACCGATTAAGGTCCGCGTGCCGGCCGCACAAGGTGACAGCACGTGTGTGCCGCACACGGGTGCCGGCTGGCACGGAAAGCTCTGAGAAGGCGGGCACCCAGCACGGGCACCGCGCAGAAAACTGCCGCGGGTGGCGAACAAACGGCGTAAGCAAAACGCCCGCCACCTTGGCAAATTCATGCCGAGCAGTGGGCCTCACGTGCACTGCTAAAGCCGCGCAGTGACACTGCCGCAGGCCCCGCTCTAGGCTCTTAAAAAGAAGACGCCGGACTGTACTCTCAGCCGCGGCGAGAGCGCCCACGGGCTCCGCGCGTGCCGCGCGGGAACCCGCCGCGAGCACTTCAGGCAGCTGCAGGCTCAGGCTGCTGCTGCTGTGACTGTTGCTGCTGGTGCGCTCCGGTGGCGCTGGAGGGACCAGCCGCCTTACCGGGCGGCTTGGCGTCCTCCAAGGGAGTGCCAGCAGCGAAGCAGGTGTCGAAGTCGCGGATGTATAGTCTCCAACGACCTCAGCATCCTGCGCGAGAGTCAGGAGAACTCCACACTCGAGGTTCGCCTTGGAGCTGGTGCTCCAATTGAGCGACCCAACCACAAGCTCGGCGCAGCTGCCGCCTGAGCGCAAGAGCGCCTTGGCATGATGCAGGCCCTTCAGGCCCGCACCCACGGCAGGGCCACGCCCATCGGCGACGTAGGCGTCCCTAACGGACGACCCGCTGCAGAGGCGCACGCGGGCGCCTGCCTGGGCAGCGCGTTTAAGCGCCTGCCACTGCAGCTTGGTCCGCGAGCACTGCTGAGCGTCAGCAAGGACGCTGCAGAGCGCTCCTCTCGCGCAGGCTCGCTCGATAGCGTCGATCAACGCTGGCGAGTCAAAGCTGTATGCCCGGAGATAGAGCTTCTCCCGGGACTTGGCTCGGTCCACCACCTCCACGCCTGCAGAGATGTACCATCCTCCGGCAAGGTACTGGCAACCGGTCACGCCAGACGCCGCCTGCACGTTGCTACGGCTAGGCGTCTTGTTGCGTCGGTTGCCGACGGGCGCTGCCTTCGCAGCCGCCGCGTCGGGGGCTGGAAGGGCAAGCGCGCTCGAGGCAGCACCGCTCGCTGCTGGGCCAGTCCGGAGCAGGCCGCTGAGGCAGCTAAGCTCCCGGCTCTTGGCAGCGAGCCCCGAGAAGCACTCGGTGGTGCCGGCAGTCATCGCCTGGACCGCAATGCGGCCACGGCGAACCGCACGCGAGGACTCCTCCGCGTGCGCAGGCGCGGGGAGGCCCTGGGTGCCACCCACGGGCACCACCTGATAGATCCTTTGCGTGTAATTTTACATTTTACATTTTTTAATTTTTTACACGTTTTTGACGTGTAAATCTTTCCCTGAAATTTACATTTTTTCGTGTAAATTTGGGTGTGTAAATTACACGCCAAAACGTGTAAATTATACACCCATGTTCTCCGAATTACACTCTGTTTCGGTACATTTGCAGCCGAGATTACTGGCACAAAGTTCCGTTTTGCTTCTGTTTCCATGTGTTTCCCAATGCCATTTGGACGAAACACACACACGAAAAACAAGATTTTGTTGTCTCCACTGAAGAATGCGGCCGACATAACAACAAGCAGAACCAAGAGATGTATATACATGTTTGTGTGGAGGAGAGAGAGTCCTCTGTTCTTTTGAGCCCCAAAACCCAAATCCTGAGCCCGAAACGTTGAATTTGTGAATAAATTGTTTTGTTTTTTGACACGAACCATTGACTTTTGCAAATCAATTCTAGAATTTTTGCAAAAAAAATCTTCGGCTTTTCAGCAAAACATTTTGATGCTTTGCAAAAACTTTCGATTTGGTTTGGTAAAAAGGTGTGCGAATTGTTAACAAACAGGTTTTTGCTAAACATATCTAAGTTTCACCGAAAAAGCAAATTCGTATCCAAAAAAAATCTCTAGCTTTTGTGAAAGAAAAGTTTTGATTACTCCAAAGCTCTGAATGTTGAGTAAAAAATCTAAACCCCTAAGACACAACCTAAGCCCCAAACCAAACCCTAAGCCCGAAACCTAAACACCACAAGCCCCAAACCCTAAGCCCGAAACCCAAAACACCATGAGCCCCAAACCCCAAACCCTAAACCCTGAGCCCCCCAGCCCATAACCCTAAGCCACCCTAAGCCCTAAGCCAGAAAAACCTACATTTGAGCTCAGGGTTTTGGGGTTTAGGGCTCAGGGTTTTGGGTTTAGGGCTAAGGGTTTTGGGATTAGTGCTAAGGGTTTTGGGATTTATGGCTTAGGCTTTTGTGTTTGGGCTTAGGGTTTTGGGGTTTGGGTCTAGTGTTTTGGGTTTGGGGCGTAGGGTTTTGGGGTTTGGGGCTTAGTGTTTTGGGTTTGGGGTTTAGTGTGTTTGGGTTTGGGGCTTAGGGTTTTGGTTTTAGGGCTTAGGGTTTTTGGTCGTGGGGCAAGGTTTTGGGTTTGGTGCTTAGGGTTTTGGTTTCGGGCTTAGCGTTTTTGGGTTTAGGGCTTTGGGTTTCGGGTTTGACGTCTCAGGGTTTTGGTGTTTGGGGCTTAGGGCTTTGTGTTTGGGCTTAGGGTTTTGGGGTTTGGGTCTAGTGTTTTGGGTTTGGGGCTTAGGGTTTCTGGGTTTGGGGCCTAGTGTTCATGGGTTAGGGGCTTAGGGTTTTTGGGTTTGGGGGTTAGGGTTTTGGTGTTCGGGGCTCAGGGTTTTGGGTTTTGCGCTTAGGATGTGGGTGTTGGGGCAGGGATTTGGGTTCTGGGCTTTGGGTTTTTGGGTTTAGTTCTTAGGCCTTTCGGTTTTGAGTTTGTGTGTTTTTGGTGTTTGCCCTTGGGGTTTGGGTTTCGGGTAGAAAACTTTTTTTGGTTTGGGGACTTAAAAGGCCTTAGGGTTTTGGGTTTGGGGCTTCGCGCTTTGGTTTCGGGCTTAGGACTTTTGGGTTTAGGGGTTCAGGGCTTACGGCTTTGGGGTTGGGGCTTAGTGCTTTTGGGCTTTAGGGCTCAGGGTTTTGGGTTTAGGGCTAAGGGTTTTGGGATTAGGGCTAGGGGTTTGGGATTTATGGCTTAGGATTTTGGGTTTCGGGCTTAGGGTTTTGGTGTTTAGGGCTTAGGGTTTTGTGTTTGGGCTTCGGGTTTTGGGGTTTGGGTCTAGTTTTTGGGGTTTGGGGTTTAGCGTGTTTGGGTTTGGGGCTTAGGGTTTTGGTTTTAGGGCTTGGGGGTTAGGGTTTTGGTTTTTTGGGGCTCAGGGTTTTGGGTTTCGGGCTTAGGAATTGGGTGTTGGGGCAGGGTTTTGGGTTCTGGGCTCTGGGTTTTTGGGTTTAGTGCTTGAAAACTTTTTGGGTTGGGGACTTATAAAGCCTTAGGGTTTTGGGTTTGGGGCTTATGCATGCATCCATTGCGGACTGTCCCGAAGCAACCAGTTGAGGACTGACTACGTACAACAATGCGCCTTCAGCGTGCCTGACGGTGGGCACGCTTATGCGCATAAAAGATCTCATGAGGGGACCGGAAAGGGATCTGTGCCGCAACCGGTTCCTGTACAACTGTATAGGAGAACCTGCCGGTAGAGTCGGCCAGTGAAGTGCCGAAACAAACTATCACACACCACTCTTGCCGTATGGTACTGAGGCCTCATGCGCAGTGCTGGGACTTTGCATGGGACCCCGACGCATCGCAAAGCAAACTGTGAACTGAGCTTCCATGGGCATTTGCATGCAGAAAGAACTGCACGCAGAACGTGAGAAAAAACTAGCACTTGTGAAGTGAGAGGCTGAGCACACAAGGATATCTGAGGGCACTGGACCTGATGCACCCAAGCTGCCTTGACCGACACTTTGTCAAAAGGTGCAGGTCTGGCAGCTTTGTCCCACTTAGCAACATTAACTGGGGCTAACCAACCCGTTTCGGCAGTGAAAGCAAAATACATTTCAATCACCGAAAAACCTTGCTCATCTGGAACCCATCGATGCCGCGAGCACCAGTCGAATAACAGTTGCGCGAAAGGCGGGCACAACAAAAACACATCCCAGTTTGGGACACTATCTTTACCAGGAAAAACAACCCCTGCGTCAGCAGAAAGCATGCCGACTCTGTCTTGAAAGGTATTTTGCGAGGGGGGGCTTACATGCGGGTTTAAACTTACAGACTTACGGGTGTGGTGCTTTGTGTTGAAAACTTCCGCAACGCTTCTGTGCAGAGCATACACTTGCGCCTGTGCAGCGCGCGTGCTTTTCACAGCTTGCACAGCTTGACGGTGGCAGTCGTTGACACGCTTGTCACTTCGAGAAAACACCGCTTTGGCATACTCATCTGCAACGCCGTTGTGGAACCAAAGCCACGCGTGCTGCTCATCAGGCGCTGAGTGCCAATCCTGATGACTTTTGACTTTCACGATCCGCCAAGTGCCACTGCAAGTTTTAAGTGCTTGGGAAATTTCGAACCATATATCAAGGTTGCTGTGCTTCCACAACTTCCTGATATCCCAGCCATGCTGCAAAAGCAAATTAAAACCTGCAACAGCAACTTCCGAATCGGAGTAAATAACCCCGCCATCCCCCAAAAGTACGGCTGCAAGGACTGCAAAAGTCTCGGCTCTGTTGTTCGTGTGATGTTCACCTGGAACATAATCATGCAGCATTTTGGCTTGGCTCAACACCCCAGGTTCTGCAAGCACAACAGCCCAGGCAGACAGACTGAGGACTGGATCTGTCGGATGCAGAGTGGAACCATCTGTGAACAAGTGGACGTCTTCGCCTTCAAAAAACTTTGTGACAGTCTCGCAGGTACGGGTGCGCATCAAGCTCTTAAACTGAAGCAACTCCGGTGGTTCTTGAAACAAACCCCATTGCAACTCAAAAGTGCTCAGAGTCGCAGGGAGCGTCAGCGATTCTCTGCAACTCAACGTAGTTGGGCAGTGCACAAGCATATGTTCAACTGTAAGCTCAGCTTTACAAAAAGGGCATAACAAATCTTCTGGTGCTGCAAAATGCTTCCGTCGCGATGCCGGCACTATGGCGCCACATGCGTAGTTTGCAACTTGAGCATCGTAACCGTGCCCAGTTTGAAGCAACTGCCGAACTAAACGAACCGAAAAACTTTGGAGACCCTCCAACCCTTGGTAACTTTGCACAACTCGTACAACTTCGCACTGCCAGGCCTCCAACCAGTGTTCATAAACAATATCCCAACTAGACAGAAGGATGCTAAGCTTAACTTGACCTGGCACTTCGACCCAACCATCCGGAAGGGGGGTCCATCCTAAACTACGAATGTCCTTGAAGAAATACGTCAGAGGCCCTCCGCACTTGGACACGCGGCTGTGTAGCAAGACATTCCAGGCAGTACGAACGACAGGGTACAGGGCCCACATGCGCTTAAGCGTGGTCCAGCGCCGCCTAAAGACATGAATCCATGGCTCATAGATTTCACTTGCACCAAGCAAAGGCGCAAGGAAATGATTTCTTTGGTTTGCAGATCCCCAAACAGCTTTGTTGCATTTGCCTCGGAAGGTACCTAAAGCAGAAACGGACACCGAGCTCAGCTCCGACCCATACAAGGCTGACGGAAAAACAAACCGCGTCAAGCAGGCAACTTTCTTGGTGATACTCCAAGGCAGCACTTGAAGGCGCTCCAACTTAACTAAATTCTTATCCACTCGGCCCTGAAAGCCTTTAGCAGACGATGCTTTGCGGGTGCAAAACTGAACTCCTAAATCACCAAAATCATTAGCGACAGGAATAAAAACACCCTCAATAGAAAATCGGCGCAAAATGCCACGGAATTCCTTAGAAGTAGCATAAGCTATTGACTTGTCGGGCGACAGAGACATCCCTAAGTTTTTGGTGACGGAAGAGACGGTGCTGGTGGCCGCACAAGCAAGTTGAGGATCAGAAGCTTGTATACGCCAGTTATCAACGTATGATCGCAATGGTAAATCGTGGCAAGCTTGCACCTGACCGGACACTGCCCACGTGATGATTATCATGGACAAGACAGCAAGCGGGCATCCTTCAGGCACACCGGTCAAGCTAGTGCGTGGAGGAAACAGCTGACCACCAATGCGAAAGTGACGTCTTACACCGCTCAGGAAGTTTCCATAAGCGCTGACAACGGATGCGGGCCAACCAAGTCTTGATGCCAAGACACAAACTACTTCCCTGGAGATCGTATTATAAGCTTTGCTTAAGTCTAAAGAAAACCCTG